AAAAAAACGATACAGATTTGTAATAAACATGTATAGGCAAAATTGTTTGTCCCAATGTACTACAATAGGCTGTAGGCGAAAACTGTAATAATATTGTAATTACATGTAATAATATGTAATTTTTTGAAATAGCGCCCCCCAGTGGTCAAATCTTTTGAAACTCGACTGGTTGTTAGAAAGTGGCTAGATATAGACACCAGTCAAGTTTCGTCATGATTGGTCAATGTTAAGCCTGTCAAATGGCCTGCTGAATGCTTATTGGCCGATGGCGACCACAAATTTCAATGTATCCAAACGTCCTTCAATGCACACTTGTAGACTGGTGAGAGGATGCTGGATGCAAAGTTTCAGCTTGATCGGATGTTCAGAGGCAGAGAAAATGCCCTGTTTTTGTTGCTCCGCCCCCTAATTACTTATGGACACAAAAATCGAATGGCTACCTCAGAATGGGCTACTGACATGCCCTATATAGTTTGAAATTTTTTGGCAGAAGGATTCTTGAGTTACAGATTTTTCAATTAATTCTGAATTATTTTGAATTTATCCAGAAGGGTTCATTTGCATATAGCAGCCATGTTGTATGGAAAACTTGAAATGTTTTTGATAATTATTGACCAGGACACTCTTCTGAATTTTTTGACACCAAACACATGAGGATTGGGCAAAGATTGGAGGACTAGTACACAAAAGTAGGTTTCGCACATTTTGCAGTATTGCGAAAAATCTAAGTGGGCGGAGCTAAATAATCAAAATAGCCAAAAGGTTTATTTGGACCCATAGAATCAGGAAAAAAATATGGCTTGTCTGCCAAAAATCTGGTTTAAGAGATATAGACCCAAACGTGTTGACCTGCGCTGTAGCGCCCCCTTGTGGCCGACTGGGCTGATTCCTTGCGCCTGAGTAGCGGGAGGGACTACTACCTATTGACCAAGTTTGGTGTCTCTAGGACTTACGGTTTGGGCTGTGCGTTCCGTTTCAGGGCAGAAAAATAATAATAATAATAATAATAATAATAAATATAGCCGCAAGCGGCAATGAGCGGGTTCAAGCACGCAACAGCAGTACGGGCCCTTCTGCAGGTTTAGCCCATTAGGCCTAAAAAGGCCTCAAGCTTCTGGTTTAGGCCATTAGGCCTAAAAAGGCCTCAAGCTTTTGGTTTAGGCCATTAGGCCTAAAAAGGCCTCAAGCCTTCTATTATATTAGGCTTAAACAGGCTTCAAGCCTTTGTATAGTAAGTCTTTGTATAGTGAAATCTTTGAAAGAATAAGCCAAAATAAAAGACAAGCAGTGCAATTTTTGACATAACATGTAATTAGAAAGTTGTTCATCTTAGTGGACTGAGTCACATGGCACCATTTGTTTATATGTGGACCTTGTAATAACATTGTAATAGCATTTTCATTGATTTTTCAGTGTTTTTGAGTGCTAAGGCACACCCAAAGGCCAATGTGGACCAAAATTGGCAGACACCATTAGAGTCCAAATATGTATAAATCCTCAAAGTTTGAACATGATCTGACCAATGACTGGTGAGTTATAGCTAATCAAGCTAACAATACCACGTACGCAGGAATTTAGTGATTAATCCACATGACCCTGAGAAGAAAAGTCAAAATGTTTTTGATAATTATGTACCTAGAGATGCCAAAGAATTGTTCTAGACCAATTTTGAAAAGACTGGATCAAAATCCAGAGACTAGTTCAAAAAGTAGGGTTTTCAAACATTTATCTATTACAAAAAAATGATACAGTTTTAATGAACATGTATAGGCAAAATTGTTTGTCACATGGTAATACAATAGACTATAGGCAAAAATTGTAATAATATTGTAATAACATGTAATAATATGTAATTTTTTGAAATAGCGCCCCCCAGTGGTCAAATCTTTTGAAACTCGACTGGTTGTTAGAAAGTGGCTACATATAGACACCAGTCAAGTTTCGTCATGATTGGTCAATGTTAAGCCTGTCAAATGGCCTGCTGAATGCTTATTGGCTGCTGGCGACCACAAACTTCAATGTATCCAAACGTCCTTAAATGCACACTTGTAGACTGGCGAGAGGATGCTGCATGCCAAGTTTCAGCTTGATCGGATGTTCAGAGGCAGAGAAAATGCCCTGTTTTTGTTGCTCCGCCCCCTAATTACTTATGCACACAAAATTCGAATGGCTACCTCAGAATGGGCTACTGACATGGCCTGTGAAGTTTGAATTTTTTTGACTGAAGGATTCTTGAGTTACAGATTTTTCAATTAATTCTGAATTATTTTGAATTTATCCAGAAGGGTTCATTTGCATATGGCAGCCATGTTGTATGGAAAACTTAAAATGTTTTTGATAATTATTGACCTTGAGGCTCTTCTGAATTTTTTGACACCAAACACATGAGGATTGGGCAAAAATTGTAGGACTAGTACACAAAAGTAGGTTTCACACATTTTGCAGTATTGCGAAAAATCTAAGTGGGCGGAGCTAAATAATCAAAATAGCCAAAAGGTTTATTTGGACCCATAGAACCAGGAAAAAAATATGGCTTGTCTGGCAAAAATCTGGTTTAGGAGATATAGACCCAAACGCGTTGACCTGCGCTGTAGCGCCCCCTTGTGGCCGACAGGGCTGGTTCCTTGCACCTGAGTAGCGGGAGGGACTACTACCTATTGACCAAGTTTGGTGTCTCTAGGACTTACGGTTTGGGCTGTGCGTTCCGTTTCAGGGCGGAAAAAGAATAATAATAATAATAAATATAGCCGCAAGCGGCAATGAGCGGGTTCAAGCACGCAACAGCGGGACCTCCTGCAGGTTTAGCCCATTAGGCCTAAAAAGGCCTCAAGCTTCTGGTTTAGGCCATTAGGCCTAAAAAGGCCTCAAGGTTTTGGTTTCGCCCATTAGGCCTAAAAAGGCCCCAAGCCTTCTATTATATTAGGCTTAAACAGGCCTCAAGCCTTTGTATAGTAAGTCTTTGTATAGTGAAATCTTTGAAAGAATAAGCCAAAATAAAAGACAAGCAGTGCAATTTTTGACATAACATGTAATTAGAAAGTTGTTCATCGAAGTGGACTGAGTCATATGACACCAATAGTTCATATGTGGACCTTGTAATAACATTGTAATAGCATTTTCATTGATTTTTCAGTGTTTTTGAGTGCTAAGGCACACCCAAAGGCCAATGTGGACCAAAATTGGCAGACACCATTAGAGTCCAAATATGTATAAATCCTCAAAGTTTGGACAGGATCTGACCAATGGCTGGTGAGTTATAGCTAATCAAGCTAACAATACCACGTACGCAGGAATTTAGTGATTAATCCACATGACCTTGAGAAGAAAAGTCAAAATGTTTTTGATAATTATTTACCTAGAGATGCCAAAGAATTGTTCTAGACCAAGTTTGACAAAATTGGATCAATATCCAGAGACTAGTTCAAAAAATAGGGTTTTGAAACATTTATCTATTACAAAAAAACGATACAGATTTTTAATAAACATGTATAGGCAAAATTGTTTGTCCCAATGTACTACAATAGGCTGTAGGCGAAAACTGTAATAATATTGTAATTACATGTAATAATATGTAATTTTTTGAAATAGCGCCCCCCAGTGGTCAAATCTTTTGAAACTCGACTGGTTGTTAGAAAGTGGCTACATATAGACACCAGTCAAGTTTCGTCATGATTGGTCAATGTTAAGCCTGTCAAATGGCCTGCTGAATGCTTATTGGCTGCTGGCGACCACAAACTTCAATGTATCCAAACGTCCTTAAATGCACACTTGTAGACTGGCGAGAGGATGCTGCATGCCAAGTTTCAGCTTGATCGGATGTTCAGAGGCAGAGAAAATGCCCTGTTTTTGTTGCTCCGCCCCCTAATTACTTATGCACACAAAATTCGAATGGCTACCTCAGAATGGGCTACTGACATGGCCTGTGAAGTTTGAATTTTTTTGACTGAAGGATTCTTGAGTTACAGATTTTTCAATTAATTCTGAATTATTTTGAATTTATCCAGAAGGGTTCATTTGCATATGGCAGCCATGTTGTATGGAAAACTTAAAATGTTTTTGATAATTTTTGACCTTGAGGCTCTTCTGAATTTTTTGACACCAAACACATGAGGATTGGGCAAAAATTGTAGGACTAGTACACAAAAGTAGGTTTCACACATTTTGCAGTATTGCGAAAAATCTAAGTGGGCGGAGCTAAATAATCAAAATAGCCAAAAGGTTTATTTGGACCCATAGAACCAGAAAAAAAATATGGTTTGTCTGGCAAAAATCTGGTTTAGGAGATATAGACCCAAACGCGTTGACCTGCGCTGTAGCGCCCCCTTGTGGCCGACTGGGCTGATTCCTTGCGCCTGAGTAGCGGGAGGGACTACTACCTATTGACCAAGTTTGGTGTCTCTAGGACTTACGGTTTGGGCTGTGCGTTCCGTTTCAGGGCGGAAAAAGAATAATAATAATAAGAAGAAGAAAAATCCGCACAATTCCAATAGGGTTCAATGCATTGCATGCTTGAACCCTAATAAATATAGCCGCGAGCGGCAATGAGCGGGTTCAAGCACACAACAGCAGCACGGGCCCTTCTGCAGGTTTAGCCCATTAGGCCTAAAAAGGCCTCAAGCTTTTCTTTTAGCCCATTAGGCCTAAAAAGGCCTCAAGCTGTGGGTCTTATTTATAGGCAGAGTGAATAGAACTGAAAGGAAGTCAGTTCATCAAGACGCCTTCAGTTGCCATAAACAATGAGCAGATGAGAAGGCTCTCAATTACAGCTTAGGTCAACAACTGAGTGAATGGAGTCCAGAAGTTGCAAGGAATTTCAGGAAGACAGTTGAGTTTATTCCTGTGACTACTGGCTGTAGTGCTGGAAGTATTATTATTTTTATGAAGCATTAGAGAGCTGCAGTGTGGACTGAAATCGAGTGTGTGCTGTTGAGTACAGTCCTTGGGTGCCTGAAAAGGTCTTATTGTGAAAGAGTGGGAAGTGAAGATAGTTGTTAACTAACCTGTTTCAGTGGAGACTGTGGGTGACAGACTTAGGATATTAAAGTGTCTTTGCTCTGTCAGTGGTTCACTGGACCCCTTGGGTGCCAGACTCAGGATACTGAAGAGATGCTGCTCTATCAGTGGTTCACTGGACCCCCTGGGTGCCAGACTCAGGATACTGGAGAGTTGTGGGTGTATCAGTGGTTCACTGGACCCCGTGGGTGCCAAACTCAGGATACTAGAGAGTGGTCGGCTGATGCGTAGCTTCAGTGGACACCTAGAAAGAAGGGTAGAAAATATCAGCAAGTTGTTGAAGGAATGTTTGTCTCACTTGAGCTCTTGTGTGAAACAGTCAGGACAGGGGAGTTGTTGTGTGATCAGTGTTTTGCTGTAGGTGTTGGTTGCGAAGTGTATGATTCCAGAGAAATGCTGGCTGAGTTACAGCTATAATGGTGTGTTGAGAGACAGAATAGAGGGAGAGTTGTTGACTTCAGGTATGGTGTTCTAAAATGAGAAATAAAGAGACAAAGTTGTGTTAAGGTGTGATATACAAGTCATGTGTGGTTATTTTGTTATGTACTATGAATATGTTTAGGAGTTGTGCAGTAATTACTGTAAAAGTCTTTTTGCTGAATGATGTTTACTTGGTTAAGCATTTTAGTTTGTGCTTTTTATGAGCATAATGTCCATAAGGGGTGCTAGCAGTGTAGAGGGAGCCTGTGTGTGTAGAACTGCAAATGAAGGCAATGTGATCAATAGTGTGGAACAGTTAAGAAAAATGTATGTTTTAGTGGGGAATGTGAAAACAGAATGTGTGTATAAGTAATATAAAAGTGGTAATGGTTTAAGAGTAGTGGATGTGACAATGTAGTCCATTTAAGGCAATTATTATAAAGATAGTGTGTATGAGAGTGTATCAGTGTTAATCCATGACAATTTATATTTGAGAAACAAGTGTTTTAGCAGGGTGTAATATTCTGTAATGGTGTGACAGCTGTAGTGAAGGTTAGGTTGTGCTTTGTATGAAATATATCAGGGAGTTGTAGTGTATATAGTGATGAAGTGCGTACATGTAACTATGTTGTGTACTAAAGTCCTAGGATGGCAAACTTAGTCTGATTGAGAATTGTTGCTTCATTGGTGGTTCCAGACTCAGGACACTGGAGAGCTGATCAGTGGTTCACTGGATGCTTTGGATGGTAGACTCAGTATACTGGAGGTTTTGGCTGATATGTTGCTTCAGTGGACACCTACAGGCAAAGATGAAATGGAAGACATCACAGAGTTGTTTTCATGTGTAGGTCAATGGAGTGATTTTGGGTTTGTGAATGTGGCCCACTGTTTGTAGTGTGTATGCAGTATGCAATATGTCCATAATAGTTTATTTCATTGTATGTGAGTGTGAAGTGTATGTTGCTTGAAATATTTGAACATAATTTGCTGGCAGTGATGGGTTGAAAATGCAGGACACATGGGAAGTTAATTAATATTTGGTATTTGTAAAGATAACAAATAATGACTGCAGTGAATGTGTTTAACATGATTATATGAAGATGTATCATAGGTTATTATAGTGAAAGCATGCTATAAAAAGCCTTTTTTGGGGTACAAAGGACATATTTCAAAGATGTACATGGTATCAGGTAAGGTAATGTAAGTTAGTTATGGACAGTTTTGAAATTAACAAATGAATGAAAATATAAGCAAATATTATCAACTGGGTTATTAGAACAAAGTGTCCATGAATTGTGTTGATAAAAGTGAACTGAATGCTTAACAGAGCAGTTTTCTGATAAGGAAATGTGCTGTATATGAGAACACAGTAAAGTTTACATAGAGAATATAAGGTGAGGCTGATGCTATGAAAGGTCGTGTAGGTCTTAGTAATGCTAGCTAGATTACTGTATATGGTGTTCTGCAGTACTGAAGAGGGGCAAAGGAGCGTGCTATGCTTCACTGTGTGGTATGACATGTACAATAACAAACACCCTCTGATTTGTTTTGTGAGAGTATGATCGAAACAGGAAGATCTGACGGATAACCATTCCTAAAAAATGTTCTCAACACACAAGATATGTGGAAACGCTCAGCTGTAGTAGATAAAAATAGGCGTAGGAGCAGCTACATGCTAAGTTCCACAGTGGAGACTTAGCCCTGGAGATGTAGATAACCGGGTAAGTGAACACTTGATAGTATATTACATTCTGTATAGAAAGTTTTAGCACGTTTCAGGAAAAACAACTTACTTTACACCGGAGAACCGTGTTAGTCGTTCAATAGGTTTGTGCTGGAAAAACCCATGTGACCAATGACCTCTGAACGCGCATGGATACAATCATGTGACATCGGTGAAAAACGTATTCAACAGAAACGAACCGGTAGTTGTTCATGGTTTTAAGGCAATAAAAATCCATATGCGTACACATTTATTCAGCTTTCATATCAAGGCTACAACTTAAATGTGAAATAATAAGGAAAAGTTATTTCTGTGTAGTTGTGTAGACCTTATAAGAGTTTTGCGAAATATGAGCTGTAAAGATGACCTGTAAGGTGATATAACTCAAAAGTCATGTTTAGTAATTACCTGTAGTGCTTTACAAATAAATTAGGTTATTTTAAATGCGTTGGAGATCAAGATTTAGTAGAGTCAATTTAGCAGAGCGGAGTTATAAGTGCAGTTCACCTTTTTAACCGCTAGATGTCATTTATGTTCATGGTTTTAAACACAGAGAAAGGAACCTTTTTAGATAGAAGATCAAACAAAGCTTCGCTGGTTCAGGAAGCTTCGCTTTACAGTAACTAGACAGCACAAATCTGTGTTTTATCAGCTTTATAGGTACAGGGGCGGAGTAAACGGTAGGAAAGGAAGGAAAGAAGTAAAACAAGTGTTTTTGAGGTAAAAGTTAGTGAAAAGCGTTCAGGAAGTGGTTGGTACATATAATAAAAGAACAATTTTAGGATATATATTTTTGCTATTGGTAGTTGTGGGTTCAAGAAAGCATGAAAATATTTTGTAAATTATATTTTGTCAAACATATTGTAGGCTAAAGTCGAGGAGCTCAAAGGTGCATTAAAGAAAATTTGGCTTTATTTGAGTTAAGTTGTATTATTAGATCATCTGGATGAGTTTATGTAGAAGTGTGTAGCAGTATATTAACTCGTATTAGTAGCGAATTGTACACCAATAGATCACTGAACATTACGATTGTGTGTTTGTGGTGCATTCTAGGACATTAACATAATTTAAAGTTTGGATTGAAAGAAACGTAATAATCCAAATGTCCACACAAAAGTTAAATTCCAACGACTTTATTACAAAAACAGTGAACGGCAATTTAGTTCAAGGCAAAGCGTTGCACAACAACGATCGAGTAGGAACAGTGACAATTTACCAAAAAAATAAAGACTTTTAAGAAGAAAAATTACGAGTTGACAAAACAATAGTAGTAAACAGAAATGCATAATGTTCGGAAAGCACGCTAAAGTAAACTCACCTAACAGGTAATAAGGACTGGGAACTCAGACAGTCAGTGTTTGTCGGGCTGAGAGTGTTCGGCTGCGGCGGCGCTTGGGGGCGCTGTGGGCTGAGAGTGTTCGGCTGCGGCGGCGCTTGGGGGCGCTGTGGGCTGAGAGTGTTCGGCTGCGGCGGCGCTTGGAGGGGCTGACGGCTCAGAGTGTTCGGCTGCGTCGGCGCTTGGAGAGTCTGACGGCTCAGAGTGGTGGGCGCTGCTGGGACCGGTTGCGGCAGGTTGAGTGATGTTAGTGACGCGGAGTTCGTCATCAAACGAAATGCAGACAGACGATTGTCCTAAGAAGTGCTCCTCCAGCTCTTCAACATTGTCCACCCACTGCAGGCCGTACCTTTCCAGGTAAGATGAAAGCGGAGAATTGTTTACCGTCAGCGTGAACTCTAGGTTGTCCTCGTCAACTTTGATCGTGCCAGAGAGCAGTCTTTTGTAGGTCGCCGTCTTCTGCAGCATCCGGCACTGCTGGCAGCGGTGGAACCTGTTTTTGGGGAGGAAGCTGTCCTGCCGGCCGCCGCAGAGAGAACACTTCATGGTAGCTCGGATCTCTAGCGCGTGGACGGGGCCAGTGACGGAGCTCAGCCGCGGATCTGAAGAGCCGCCGGTGCTGTCAGGGACATCCAAGTCTCCGATGGGGCTGCAGGTGGTGTTGATGGAGGTGGTAAGCTGAAGTTTCCCCTCAAATGTCCTAGTTGAGAGCTCCGTGAAGGTGTAGGATGACAGCGCCTGGACGGTGTCCACCTGTCTCTCCCACAGCTGCAGCGTCATCTGCGCGGTCCCGTCGGAGATGCAGCAGTTTCTGACCTCCCGCTCGGCCCCGCGGATGTTCACCCTTCGAACGGATGGACTTAGGGAGAGGACTTTAGCTTCCACCAAGCTGACCTGCAACCAGAGAGACAAGACAGGACAGAAAGGTCAGTAAAGCGCAGTAAAGGATTAAAGTGCAATTTAATCAGCTCATAGAGAGTTTAAAGTGTTTACCTTTCTGCCTGCCTGCATCGTCATGACTTCTTTTAGGGCCGTTTTCTGCGGTGATGGGGGGCTCCGTGCGGCGAACGGCACCGTGGTGACTGAGACGTCAGTCCTGTTATTGACGATCACGTCAAAGTCTGACGTGCCCTTGAAACCTGGAAGACATACAATACTGGATTAGGGAGAGGTTCGTAAACGGTGACGTATTCATAGAGTTGTGCGCAAGAGAAGTACTTACTTAACGCCTTCTTTACGCTCTTCAGGCAGAGCGGAGTTCCATTCCGCGCAGCCTGCAGAAATGCGTGCCGTTTGCCCGGGCTGAAGACCACCGCATCGTGGAAGTCCTCTCGGCCGGTCTGAAGCACCGCGTTGAAGAACTCCACGCTGTTGGCAGAGAACTTCACGGGGGGGACGCTGTGAATGTAGCAGGAAACGGTCTCTTGGTCTTCTCTGGGACGCTTCGCTGGAGTTGCCATGTTGATGGTCAGTGATTCAAGCCCACAAGTGAAGTCTGATTGTCCCGTAGCCGTATTTGTACTCCCTGTCGCAGTAAACAGCAACATTGTTTCAAGTCTTAGAAGAAGTGAGAATCAGGTTTGAAGCAAAGTTGTTATAGTACTAGACGTGTCTGTCTGGAGACCCAGACGAGACCTCAATGTTGCAACTTTGACAGACGTTCCATAGTCCAGTGTGTAGAATCCAGACCAACACAATTGTGTAGTGAAGCTTTTATTTATTTATAAGTTATTCAGACTTTCTACACGTATTTTCCATTGTTTTAAAATGCAGTGAGGGCAGGTGTGTGGTGAAGTGTGTTTAAAGACATTTTAGTAAATGGAATGGCAGTAGATAGAACCATTTGTTCATTTGATGCTTAAGTGGTTCTGTGGTTGGTGAAGTTGCTCAGTTTGATGGAGAAGGTGTTGGGTATATGTTTCTATGAAGCACAAAAAATATTTTTCTAACAGCAGCAGAACTGTTTTTATTGTTATACAGGAGTAGTTTCCAAAAGGTTCTATATAGAACTATATACTACACATTCTACATCAACGTGAAGGTCATCCTGCAAGTAACCATTTAGTTATGAACTGCTTATATAGAGCTCATGGTTGTTAATAGAATTATTGTCTTTACTAAAGAGCCCATGAAGAACCATCTTTAATAGTGCATGTAAAAGTAATACACACTTATTACAAGTATGTTCACTGACATAATTTGCATGAGATAGTAGTATGTTGTTTTGAGACAGTGTTAGTCATTGTAGTGAACTGTTTCAGAAGCTCAGAAAAATCACACAACAAAAGTAACTTTTGAATTGTTATTGGTTGTTATTCCTCAACCCTTTAAGGCGTCACCAGATGAACAGTTGTTGTTTAGTGTAACAAGTTTTCAAACAGAATTCAAATTAAGTTAGATGTTGTAATGTACTTGTTTGAAGTGATTCATGTTGTGTCGCAAAAAAGCCAGTGACAGTCACTAATTGGTTTTGTAAGAGCTCAATAGTATAATCTAACTTGCATCTTTATGTAAATGTAAAGACATCTACTGTACAACAATCATCAGGTTTTGTGATGACAGATATTGTTTTTATGTGTGTTCTGCATGATAAACATAATCATCAATATTGAAATATTTTGTGAAAATATTTATAGCAACAGGCAGATTAGAACTACCATTTCAGTGACATACAAAGGGATAAAGTATAGTTTTATGTGTAACATATATATCACAAGCATTAGTACTAAAGATAATTTTGTTTGTGTTTCTGTTTTATATTAATAGAAAGGTTTATGGATTATGATAATCAAATAAGTCTGATTAAAGATTTAACCAATTTTAGAACATCACAAATTTTCCCAGTTGTTCCTGCACAAGGTATCTTCGATTGCTCATTTCATGCGTAGTAGTTACTAATATCAGGAAAGTTCTTTAAATGGAGTGCTAATTCTTATGTTTTTTTTTGTGTTTTCTGTAGGTAAGATGTATGTCCACATCACTGCAGTCAATGCTACTGCTGATAACAAATGGACTTCAGGAGACAAAAACATGCAGCGTTCATTGCACCATCGTCTGCGTTTCACCAGATGGTACAGTTGTACATCTCATATGTTTTATCTATGTGCTTACACATTTTAGAAAACAATGGATTTACCATTGATCATTAGCGATTAATTATAGCATGTCACTTTAGGAATTTACTCATGTAGCTGGGTTGTTGTAAATGCATGCCTGACATATAACCAAAACACACGTACACAGTGTAATAGTTTGTGTGACATTAAATACAAATAACAGCCATTTTGTCTTCAGCATGTTACTACATCACAGAACACTGTATCAAACTCATATACTTCATGTTGTGTATAGGAGTAGTTTATCAGGGCACAGACCTTATCCCATGATCCAGAACAAACCTAAGTATATGATATTGGTAACATTATGTTATCAATTGTTATCTTCAGTTATATTAGTTTATCACATTTTGAAATGATGCACACAGAGAGTATGAACATACACTGCTTCATTCAAGCTTACTTTTTAGTAGTGCACCACTTATAGAAAATGGATACAGTGAAGCATGAAAACCATACTTTATACATCAGCCGTTCTATGAGTGTGACTATGGTTACTGTGTCTTCATAAAACCCAAATTTGATCAATATTAGTAATTTATAACACATGTTGTAGATGACAATGGATCATGTTCAGTGTGTTCTATAAGTTTAATGTGATTGTGTAGAGTGTTATTTTAAAACCAGTTATTTTAGTGTTTAGTTGTATTTTTGGTGTGTCTAACAATATCATAATTGAAGAATCTGTGTTGTACATTTATTTAAATAGTGGTGTTTTTATGTAGACTTCATTGCATTTTAAGGAAATGTAAAATACGAATGGTTAATAATTTCAAAATGCTTGATTAGACATATGTGTTGGTCTGTAAGTCAGCCGTCAGGCTGGCTGTGTTGGTGGCTGTGTGTCATGTCTGTGAAAGTTGCAACATTGATGTCTCGTCTGGGTCTGCAGACAAACATTCGCAGCCATCACTGGAAAGAGGAGCTGAGAAGATTTCTGTCCAACTGCACAGCTGTACAGCAGCATGTCACATGAGCTGGGAGCTTCTGCGATGTTCACATATGAAATATAATGTTTATTTAAGAAACAAATTCACATATGAAAATAAAAACCTTGTAATGAACTGTGCCCTGTGGTCTACATAATTTCTGTGTAAAGAATTGTTAGCAGAAGTTTTAATCTGTGAGAAGATTAAGCAAGTTGTATGTGCAGTTATGTAGATTATAACACCCCTGTCAGCATGATTACAAAGTAAATCAGTATAGACTGTGCTGGTCAGTCCAGCACAGTGTTAAATGAAGAAAGCCTGGGGCCAGCCATGACAGAAGTGAAAAACTGCAACGGAAAACTGAGTGACGTATAACATTGCAAAACTAAGATATGCTCACTTAGGTAAATGCACTAGGAGATTATAATTCACATTATGTATTGATATAACTTTGTATTTAGTATGTTTTCATGGTTGTGTTATTGCTAAAGTGCCACGTTCGTTTTTGAGATGGTGTCAGATAAATGAGAGGTCTGAAAGTCTTTCTGGGGTGTAGAGCGCCCCCCGTGTGGTCAATCACGAACATCTATATAAGCGGTGTTCCATGTTATCTGCGAAGGGCCGGTGTGGCTGCGGGTTTTCACTGTAAAGATGCTGAAGCACAATTGATTTTACTTATTTAATCAGTGGGTCTTGCTCTTTAAATAATTAATCAGGTGATGTTCTGCTTTGATAGAGTGAAAACCTACAGCCACACCGTACCTTCGCACACACTGGCCCTTGGATAGGATTGGATCTCTGGAATGGATGTCTGTTCCATATAATGCACAAAACAGGCCGAAAAGACACTAAAGCAGCACAACTGAGCACATATTTTGATAGGATTGACTAACAGTAGAAAGAGTTAAAACAGTAGTTAGGACAGTGTTTGTCTTGAAGTTAGAAGAGCATTAGATGTTTTGAGAATTTAGGATGGTTCTGTATGTATATATTTATTTATGTACTGAATAGGTTGATATGATAACATCTTAAGGTCTAAAACGTGTTGGTTATGTAGCACAGCTTGTAGTGTTGACAGTGTAGCTGATGTTGTAGACAATAAATATTTAAATGTGTTGGCGAGATATTTTCTGTTCTGAAATTGTGTTTTCATTTCAGGCAGGGTAGGCATAGTGATTCAGCAGTGTAAATTTAAATATAGAAGATGTGCAAAGTGATGTATTTGAAGTGTGGTGTATTTCAAAAAGGACTTTTATTTTAATCAGTTCAGCCACGGTAAAGCGTTTCCTGTGGAATTCGCCTTAAGAGCGAGTGAGAGCGGAAATTCTTTCCCTTTCATTGCGATCCTGCATTGAGGTAGGAGCTTCTCCCTGAGTTCAGTAGGCACTATGTTCAGTAGTCACTGTCCAATAGTCACCATGTTTAATAATCACTGTTCAATAATCACTATGTTCAATAGTCACCATGTTCGATAGTCACTGTCCAATAATCACTATGTGGCTAGTTAGGGTGTTTTTGTACGATATTTGTCCGTCTTTAAGGTACAGTTATTGTGAGTCTTTAACAGGCGAGCCTTTCTCAGTAGCGTCGTGTTTAGTTGATTATTCCCGTTTTAAACGCTGTAAAACTGTTGTGGCTAATTTATTAGCACAGGTAGCATGTGGAGCACGAGGCAGCACGTGCGAGTTTAAAGGGTTATGAAGGGTGTCGACTGTAGAATGATGCTGGTTTAGGATGCTGTGTTTTCTGTGAAGTGTAGATGTAGTTTTTAAAATCTTTCCCTGACCCAATACTTCAGTTATACACTGGCTGTGTGTAAATAGCACGACGAACGGTGTTTTATCCGCTTCCCTCGGCTTCGCCTGATGTCGTCGTCCCCCCGAACTCAAAACAAGCATCGTCGGTCAATGCAGACAGACAGCGCGGCCTGTACGTTTCAGTAGCGTCGTACCATGAAGTTTAAGAGTTTGGAGATGGTTAGTTAAAGGTTCGTTTGCCCTGTTTTTGCCCTACTTTATGATTGTTAAACAACCCCATGTTTATCCCGATGTCCACATTATTCGCTTCCATCACTGCCACTTTTATTTGGCGGATGTTAATGAAAATTAACAAACATGGCTAGGTTATGGGAATTGGTACAATCTGAGATGTTCTTTCCTGGGCAAATATAAATGTATAAATTGAATAAAGTGTATAAGCTGGTTAATGCTAATGAAGGTGAAATGCTTGTTACAGCAGGCAAAAATATATTTTGATAAGATTGACTAGCAGTAGAAAGAGTTAGGACAGTGTTTTTGTTGAAGTTAGATCATTAGATTTTTGAGAATTTAGGATGGTTATGAATGTATGTATTATTTATAAATAACTTGGACTTGGCATGAGATTATGAACTGTGACTATGCTGTACCTATCTGAAGTTAATGTCACTGAAGAGAAGATTTAAAGGGAGACGTTGCTGATCTTTCAAGAAATTGTACATAATTGAATGGTTTCAGTATTAAATCACGTACACTGATTATGATCTGAAATGATCTGTACTAGATACATTTGGCAAGTCAGTTCAGAGTAGTGGTGATGGCAGTTTAATCATTCAGAAAACTCCCCCACCGAAAATACTTACGTGAAATGGTTAAATATGTGCTCCCTGCTGTCAGAAATGTATGTTGTAATGTTTTACATTAATATGCATTTTAATTCGTTTGTGATGGAGGGGCACATGCAGGGTGTTGAGGCAAAATAGTAACTGAAATATTCCATACAAAACTCACAACACGTGTAGGTTCCCTGGTTTACGATACTAAGTAAAGTGGCTACTTGTGTTATCACTTGTAAAGACGTTTGTCTAATGAGTAATTTCACACCAATCCATTCTGACTGTCTTTATATCTCAAGCACCCAATTATTCAGAAGTGTATAAAAATTGGTGGAATTGTCCTTAAAAAAAAATCCTGTGCTATGACCACTGGTTCACAACCGTGGTCCTGTAGTCCACTGTCCTGTAGATATTGATTTACATGAAAACATTTTTGTTCAGTTTCCATAGTGGTTTTGCTGGAAATGATATTTTAGGTGGCAGCAAAGAGTCTTACGATGAAAGGTTTAAATGGAGTTGACAGCATAATGACGGCAAAGCTGCCCTTGTAACAGCCAGCTTGTTATACACGTTTGAACTAACTAATGTCTTTCTCTGTGTATTATGTGGCTGCTGGATTTGGTGACAACTGATGGAAACCTTTTGGTAAGTATTGCTGTTACTATTTTCTTCCGAGTCTTTTTCAACGTTAATCATGAATCAGCAAACAGCTCACTTGTATACAAAAGGTGTCCCAGTATCTATTATGAACCAAGACTGACAGCTGTGTGTAGTGCTAGGATTGAGTTCGCTTATATGGGCATAGTACAATGCCTTAAGGATAGAAGTTGGTAAATTGTGCCTCAGTGTATAATTGTGATCAGTGTAAAAGGAAAAAGTATTTACCATATTTTAACAGTGAAGAAATCAGTGAACAAAGAAAATTTTCTCCTAAAATAGAATAGCTCATTATATAACTGTTGCTTGTGGTTGTGACCTATCTGGTTTCAGAGATACTTGCACAGTTAAACTTCTGAATGTGTTTTTTGTGTGTGTGTGTGTGTGTGTACCTGGAAATGGGAAGTTGGCAGATTCAGCAGTAAGAAGTACAGGTATGTGTTCAATGGAAAACATGCATCATGATGATGAAAATTTTTGGAACAGATTCAAACAAAATTGGTATATAAAAATTAATCTACTGTACCCAGATAAAGCCATGAAACTGTCAATGTCAAGTTCTTTTTCAGTCAGTCCCTGACTTTGGAGTAATATTTTGCATGGAGTGGGAAACATGACTGTGGAATTGCCAGCAGTGGCAGTACTTTCATAGTGACCTAATGTTCAGTAGTATACCAGTGTTATTTCTTGTTGAATAGTCTGACAATTCTAATTTGAGGAAATAATTTTTCAGTGTACAACAGGCCCTTTAAGCTGTAAAAGGAATCACAGTTCTTCCATTTATACCTCTGTCATTAAGTGTGATTGTTATAAGCAATCTGCAGTCAAAATCTCTGTAGCATTGCTAAATTAATATCAAGTTCATGTGGAATTATGAAAATATTTATGACTGCGTACATGAATTGTGACATTTTTGTACGTCTCTGTTTTCTGGGAAATTTCCTGTGGCTGGAAAATCGTAATACTTCAGACGTTGTTGAAGGTATGTTTATCCAATGTCACATAGTTTTATATCATTTATAAACACTTGTTTTACTTCTGTAGTCTAAGACAGGTTTTATACGTACAGTGGTACACAGATTCATATGGTTACTTCAGAATCAATGTACTGAAAGCTAATGTGATCATTACATTTCCCGTTTTTGTGGCTACTGAGCTGCAGAAATATTCACATTGAATGAACTAAATGAGTCTTTTATTAAATATGCTTCAGTATTTGTAATAATACAAGCATAATATAGAAAACTTACTGTCTTCTTAATGCTGTTTTAGCTGTTCTGTTTCAGCAGAATCAAGACTTGAAGGTGTGCTCAAGGGCATACTGCATACCTGAAATTACACTGAGTTCCTGGTAGTTACAAATTATTGCTTATATAATAACGTAATAGTATAGCAGTATGGAGAACTGATGGCATGAAGTAGACCATCAGTCAAGGTTATTTCTTTATGTAGATGCATGTACACACAGGTAGATGTATTGTGCAGGGTGAGAAGGTGGTTGATTTCTGTGGAATCTTCTAAATCTTCTATTAAATGGTAAAAACCAGATGTGCATACGATGGCTTTATTATAGCAGGGCGTCTGAACGGCGTATTCGACAGCTGGTCAACATCATGTTCCTGGTCCTGGTTTCTCTTTGGCCCAACAGCAAGATGACTGCATTGGACAGAAGGCTGCACAGTCAACATCAGACCTGCCACACACACACACACACAGAAGCAGTGAAGCTGATATATAGAAGTCTTATTCAGTGAAGATGTGTAGTGTCTCACTAGCAAAAATGTGTAGAACAATACTGTGATGCTGTTATGTAATTAAAATATTTACTGTTGTGCAGATGGTTTTGATGTGCCCATATGCAGGATTTCTTTTATGTGTGTGGTAGTATAACATGCAGCACATGCTGTACTTAAGTTTAAATACTGTGAATATTATTATTTTTTTTTTTAGTGTAAAGTGTAAAGAAATGTGACAGGTCCTGTGTTATGGAAAATATTTCTTTCTATTCATGTAGCTTGTAGTACACATTTATATCATGGTGTTTAAATGTGTGAAACCGGTGTTTTTGCAGTGTTACTGTGATGTTAATTAGACTAAGAATGAACTGAAACTTGGTGTGGATAGACATTGCAATGCTGTTTAATACATGTTAAGTATAACAGGATTCTTATAAAACTAGGAGCTTTTTTTTAACCTAGGAATTGAATAATTGCCAGTAGCGTTCAGTATATGTCAGTACCGTTTTGTGTTATTGAACACTCATGTTTTCGTGGCTTTTTTTTTCCTTGTATTTTCTGTTTTCAGATGCCCCGCACGAAGGCGTCCAGGCGGTCAGCTGTAGCGAGGAAGAGGATGGCGGACCAGCGCGGTGGAGCTGTCCCGGCTGTGGCTCTGTCTGACGAGGTTGTGCCTTTACCCTCACCCAAAAAGGTCCGGACTGAGACTGGTCCTGTGAGCTGCAGCCCACCTCTTCGCCAGGCCAGCGCTCCGAGCGCTGCATCTCTGACTGACGGGGTTATGCCTCATCCCCACGACGAAAAGGCTCTGTCTGACGGGTCTATGCCTTTTGCCCACAACACAAAGGTCGGAAATGACTTGCCTTTTCCCCATGTTGAAAAGGTCCCTGAGAAGATTGTACCATGTGGTACCGATAAGACGTGCAATAAGCCTTGTGATGAACTTGATCATTCCTCTGTCAATGCCTTCGGGTCCAATACACTCTGCCATTCCTCTGCCAATGCCTTCGGGTCCAATACGCTCTGCCATTCCTTTGCCAATGCCTTCGGGTCCAATACGCTCTGCCATTCCTCTGCCAGTACCTCTGTCAATGCCTTCGGGTCCATATCTGATCAATCATTCGAGTCGAACTCTGACGCTGTTTGTGGTGAAAACCCTGTGACTATCTGTTTTGATCGTCCTCAGGCACAGACTGTGAGAGGCTCCTTCCATCAGCGACACCCAAGGTTTGGCGTCAATAGTAATAAGCAGTGTGTTGCTAATAGTGTTACGGCTATAATGATATCCAGAGTGAAAAACATGTTAAGCTGGACTACAAGAGACCTTGACAACATCCTGCTGAAGGGGGACGACCTGTACAGTAGCATTAGAGATGCAGGCAGGATTCATGATGCGTCAGGCTACCTGTTTGTTACAGACTTGCCCACAGAGCACGTGTTACATGGACGCAGGTTTGAGTTGAGCTACAGTGACGAAATGTTCGTTGGACTGTTTGGTGTCAGTGAATATGGTGAAATGCAGAATGTGTACATGTCGCATGATGAGGCAATAAAAACCGTTCTGACGCACTTTGATGCTTGTTTATTCACTGTTAAACTGAATACCTGTGCTATCGTCAAACAGGGCTCTTGGTATGCTGTTATTGACTCTCATGCACGAAATGTCCATGGTGAGGAGGATAAAGACTCAGGTAAAAGCTTAGTAGCTTATCATGCAAACATTGGGTCTCTTCTGAACCACGTCACGATTCTGGGTCTGTCATTACAAGCAGAAAGTGAGCCGTTTGAAGTCACTGGTGTTCTCGTTACTCCTGCTGGCGCCAGTACGGTGTCCGATGTGCGTGATGATAACTGTCTGTCTGTCTGTGAACTCCCAGATGTTACGAAGCGTCTCCAAGGCGTCACATATGAAAGAACAATGCAGGAAGCTGATTATGGTAGTGCACAGTCCTTCAGCAGCCGCTCTTTGTACAGTGATGCAGTAAAACGTACACGTACAGACGGCAATACTGAACGTACATCAGCGGTAAACAGCCTCGTCAACAGTGAAGGTGACGTAGTGTTGATTAGTGAAACAAACTGAAAGGTTTCAGTTCAATCCTTTAACAGTGCAGCAGCAGAAGAGCGCTTGTCTGAAACTGAATATTTTGTACAATGAGTGTAATAATGGACACTTCAATGCAGCAGTAGCGCTGGCAGAGCCTTGTCAAACACAAGTGATAACAGCTGATGGTAACTGCTTTTTCAGGTCAGTAGCTTTTGGGATTTCTGGAAGTGAAATTGAACACAGGAAAATCAGACGTGCTGTTGTTTCACACATGGAGAAAAACGAGGCTATTTATGTTCATCATCTCAGAGAAGGTTACTGTTCTGTTCCACAATACATCTCTAACAGTAGAATGAAATATGTTGGAACTTGGGCCACTGAGGTTGAAATTCGGGCTGCTGCTGACTTCCTTGGTGTAAACATTTTCACATACACTGACAACAAATGGTTGAAATATGCACCATGCCATCATTCCAGAGTTTGCAGTCGAGATACAGGAATTTATCTGAAACACTGTAATCAGTCACACTATGAAGTTGTAATATGTGTTAAAACTGGTGACAGTAGTTGTAGTGGAGTCTGTTCACTTAGTTGTGAAAATAAGCAATCAGAACATGTATCAACACGCCGCAAGCTTGAAAGGCAGAAACGGAAGTATGATAAAAATGAAGAATACAGGGAGGAAAAAAATCAGAAAAGTATAAAATTGTACCATGGTAATGAAATTTACAGAAATCAGTTGAAAAAGTTGAGCACTGATAAATATTCCAGAGACGAAGAACACAGAGACCATGTAAAACAGTTAAGCATTGATAAATATTCCAGAGACCAGGAACACAGAGAACATGTGAAACAATTAAGCATTGATAAATATTCCACAGACCAGGAACACAGAGACCATGTAAAACAATTAAGCACTGATAAATATTCCACAGACCAGGAACACAGAGAACATGTGAAACAATTAAGCATTGATAAATATTCCACAGACCAGGAACACAGAGAACATGTAAAACAATTAAGCATTAATAAATATTCCAGAAATGAAGATCACAGAGAAGCACTTAAAAGGAAGAGTTTTGAATTGTATCATACGGATTCAGTGTATCAAACAGCTAAAAAGCAAAGTACTATGGACAGATATAAGACAGACAGTGCTTATGCTAATGCCACTAAAATCAGAAATGCAGAAAGAAGAAATACACAAAAGAATAACAGGCAAGAAATCAACTATTGCATTCAAAATTTCAGAGAAAAAATAAGCAGAGGGCCAGAATACGTATGTTCAGTATGTCACCGAACACTATTCAAACACCAAGTACGCAAATGCAGAAAGGATGACTATCTCAAAAGAGATCATTTGGTTGCATCTGTGGCGGAAAAATGTATCACAGACACATATTTACATCTATGCAGTGATGTGTGCTCCGATGACTGTTCTATGAAAACTGGCCCTGCTGGTTCACTATGGATTTGCTTCACATGTCACAGAAAGATTCTGAATAAAAAAATGCCTGCAGAGAGTGTTGTGAATAATCTTTCACTGGATCCAATTCCTCCAGAGTTACAGAGTCTAAACTCAATGGAAAGGCATTTAATTGCATTGCATATTCCATTCATGAGACTTGTGTCTTTACCAAAAGGGGGACAAAATGGTGTTCATGGACCTGTAACTTGTGTGCCTTCCAATGTTGCAGATGTAGCCCAAGTTTTACCAAGATCAGAAAATTCAGATCTGATGATTCGTGTGAAATTAAAGAGGAAATTGACATACAAAGGGCATTATCAGTATCAATTTGTCCATCCAGAAAAGGTACAAAATGCACTGATGTATCTGAAAGAGCATAACAAGTTCTATAGTGATGTTGAGTTTAACAATGACTGGATTAATCCACTCAGTAAAACTCCAGAAGCAGACAAGCATGATGATGCTTATGAGCAACATATTGATGAGGAAAACACTAAGAGCACTTGTGAGGACGACAGCATTGATGACACTCTGCATGATAGACAACAACATGGTATGTTCATGGATACATGCCTTCAACCTGTTGATATAGCTCAGGAGGTTTTAGACCAACACTTTGACGGAATCATTTCTGTGGCACCTGGGGAAACAAATAATCCTGTGAGGCTTCTATGTGATGAATCTAATGAGGCTAAGTGTTTTCCAGTTCTTTTTCCAAAAGGCACAGGCACTTTTCATGATACAAGGCAAGAAAACCTCACATTGTGTAGATATTTAAATACAAGAATACTGAATGCAGATGGGCGGTTTGCAAAAAACTTGGACTTTTTATTTTATGGCCAATATATATCAGAGTTAAATCAAGTTATATCAAATGTTTCACTTGCTTTGAGGAAAGGACATGACACAATCAAAAGAGATGTTACTTCAGAAATGTTAACAAACAAAGACTCCCTACAAAGGATTTTGAATGTTGATGAAGGCTACAAATTCCTCAAACCCATAAGAGGGACCCCTGTTTTCTGGCAAAGTGTTCAGAAAGACTTGTTCGCCATGGTGAGGCAGCTGGGTATTCCTACATGGTTTTGTTCATTCTCGTCTGCTGATCTGCGATGGCCTGAACTACTTCAAACAATCCTGAAACAAGAGAGAAAAGAAGTAGCAGTTGATGATCTTGACTGGTCAGAACGATGCGCTCTGTTGAAGACCAACCCAGTGACAGCTGCTAGAATGTTTGACCATCGATTCCACTGCTTTCTTAAAGATGTGATTATGTCTGAAGCACAGCCAATTGGTAAAATTGTGGACTACTTTTACAGAGTAGAATTTCAGCAGCGTGGCTCACCTCACACTCACTGCTTGTTCTGGGTGGAAAATGCTCCTCAGATTGATAAAGATGATGATGATGACGTTGTAGCATTTGTTGACCGTTATGTTACATGTGAAATGCCACCAGATGATGACACAGAAATGCATGAAATTGTATCCAGTGTCCAACAACACAGCAAAAGACATTCAAAAACATGCAAAAAGAAAGGAACACCATGCAGGTTCAATTTTCCACGTCCTCCAACTAACAGAACATTTATCACAAGATGCAAAACTGATGAACTTGAAAAGGATGTTGATGGGAAATCTGCAGAGGAGAGAGATTCTGCAAACTCAGCAAAAATGAAACACAGTGTGCGAATAGAAAAAGATTTAGCGGAATCTATTCTAAAAGGGGTAAAGAATGCTTTACTGAGTTCTGAGCATAACTTTGAATCTGCTGATGATTTATTTGCTTCACTTGGAATAAATCAGGAAATATTTGAAGCTGCTTACATACGCATGACGAGAAAAACTAGTGTTCTTTTGAAGAGAAAACCGTGTGATGTGTGGGTGAATCAATATAACCGAGACCTTTTACTTGCATGGAATGCAAATATAGACATTCAGTTTGTGGTTGATGCATATTCCTGTATTGTGTACATCATCTCCTACATTTCCAAAGCAGAAAGAGAGATGGGACTGCTGTTGTCACATGCTCAGAAAGAGGCTTCACAACAAGGAAATTTAGATGCCAAACAAGCTTTACGCAAACTGGGCAGTGTTTTCCTACATAATCGTGAAGTTTCAGCTCAGGAAAGTGTTTATCGCCTCACTAACATGAAACTAAAACAAGGATCTCGCAAAGTGCAGTTTGTTCCAACTGGAGATGCTATCAGAATGAGTCTACCCCTCAATGTGTTACAGAGGAAAGCTGAATGTGGTGATGAAGACAGCCAAAACATTTGGATGCACAGCATCAGTGACAGATATAAAGGAAGGCCTAAAACTACAGAATTTGTGGAAATGTGTCTAGCAACATTTGCATCTGAGTACAGAGTACTGTCACAATCTGAGAGCTCATCCACTGACTGCATAAAGCTGGACAAAGGATTAGGCTTCATAAAGAAAAGGTCACACACAGACGCTGCTGTTGTTAGATATGCCCGTTTCTCACCAACAAAGAATCCAGAGAAATATTATCAAAGTATTTTGCAGCTGTTTTTGCCTCATTATTCACATGATCAGTTGAAACCCAACAATTTCAATACTTACCAGGAATTTTATGAGACCGGATTTGTAAAATTTTCTGATGAACTACTTTTAGTGAAAAATATAGTGGATTCTAACATGGCAATGTTTGAGAAAGAAGCTGATTCCATACATGAAGCTCAAGAACACTTAGAGAGAAATGGTCCAATGGAGGATGCATGGGCAGAAATCTGTCCAGAAACTGAACATGAGCGATTAGAATGTATTGCTATGAAATCAGTGCAAGAGGCAGAAATTGGGGAAAGTAATGATATCATACCAGATCTGCTACCAAAGGAAACCAGTGTGGTACAAGATAATCCTTGTGGTATACCAAAGAAAGAAGCAGTGGCTTTGCTTCGTTCACTCAATGAAAAACAGTCTCAAATATTCTATCAGATTCATAACTGGTGTTTACAGAAGGCACGTGGTGAAAATCCTGAGCCATTTCATGTGTTCATTTCAGGTCCTGGAGGTGTAGGAAAGTCTGTCTTGATTAAAGCAATATTTTATGAAGCATCTCGAATCCTATCTGTGTTGTCAGACAACCCTGATGAGATACACATACTATTAACAGCTCCAACTGGTGTCAGTGCCTACAACATCAATGCTGCAACAATTCACACCTTGTTCTCCATCGGAACAGATGTAAAATTGCCTTATCAACCACTAGGAGATGACAAAATAAATTCACTCAGAGCTAAGATAGGAAAGCTGGAGATACTAATTATTGATGAAATTTCAATGGTTGATCACAAACTTCTTGCTTATGTTCACGGCAGACTGAGACAGATCAAACAGACAGGTGATTTCTCTGCTTTTGGAAAAGTATCAGTTATTGCAGTTGGAGACTTCTATCAGCTTGGTCCTGTAAAGGGAAAACCTCTGTATGCTGACTCTGTAGGTGTGAATCTATGGCAGAACCATTTTGCTTTGGCTGAGCTCACAGATATATTGAGACAAAAAGACGTGGAATTTGCACAGTTACTCAATCGGTTAAGGAAACGCAAAAGAACTGATGCAATGCTGGAACATGATATCTCAATGCTGAAGCAGCGTGAAACAGGTGAAGGAGAGGACAGAACTGATCTCCATATTTATGCAACTAATGAGGAAGCTAATGATCACAATAGGCACAAGTTGTATAAAACATGCTCAGACCCTGTTACCATTCATGCACAAGACTTTGAAAGGGTTGCTAAAACTGGTCGACTGGAAAGAATACACGGCCATCATGCCCATGTTTCCAAAACATGTCTGACACAATCACTTCATATAGATGTCAATGCACGGGTCATGCTTGTCAAAAACATTGATGTTTCAGATGGACTAGTAAATGGTGCTTTTGGTACAGTTAATGAAATATGCTTTGATAGTGAAGATCAATTTCCATCAAAAATATACGTAACATTTGACAATGAAAGGGCAGGTAAAACGATAAGAACAAAGAAACCATGCTTCAAACCTGGTCTAGAAAAAGCAACACCAATTGAACCAGAGGAAGAGAGAGTGACCAAGAGTGGGGGCATACGGCGTCAGTTTCCTTTGAAATTAGCTTGGGCTTGCACTATACATAAAGTACAAGGCTTAACTGTGGAAAAGGCTGTTGTGTCACTCAAAAAGATCTTTGCAGCTGGACAAGCATATGTGGCTTTGAGTCGTGTCACGTCTCTGTCAGGCCTTATAATAGAAGATTTCAATGAGAAAGCAATATATGCCAAGCAAGACATTGAAGGTTTCATGCAGAGCATGCCTGCATTTATTCAGTCAGACTCAGCACCCTTACTGCCATCATGCAAGATACTTCTGCACAATGTACAAGGACTGTCATATCACCTGGAAGACCTAAAACAAGACAGAAGGTATATGGAAGCTGATATCATTTGTGTGACTGAAACTTGGTTAAAATCAGACCACTGTGCAGCTGATGTACAAATATCTGGATTTGTATTTCATAGCAGACCAAGGTGTGTTTCATATGACACGAGTGAAAGAATGTTTGCTGAACTAAAGGAGCAACAACATGGTGGTGTTGGTCTGTATTACAAGGAGCATATGAATTGTAGTGTTGTTCAGTCACCATGTGTGAACTTGGAATGCCTGCAGTTTGTGATTGCTCATCTTAATACAACAGCAGCAGTTTTGTACAGACCACCTTCATACAACTTGCAAGTTGTATGAAGGTGGTCCAAACGTCCGGCAAAAATCTGGTTTAGGAGATATAGACCCAAACGCGTTGGCCTTCGCTGTAGCGCCCCCTTGTGGTCGACTGGGCTGATTTCTTGCGCCTGAGTAGCGGGAGGGACTACTACCTATTGACCAAGTTTGATGTCTCTAGGACTTACGGTTTGGGCTGTGCGTTCCGTTTCAGGGCAGAAAAATAATAATAATAAATATAGCCGCAAGCGGCAATGAGCGGGTTCAAGCACGCAACAGCAGTACGGGCCCTTCTGCAGGTTTAGCCCATTAGGCCTAAAAAGGCCTCAAGCTGTTGGTTTAGGCCATTAGGCCTAAAAAGGCCTCAAGCTTTTGGTTGAGCCCATTAGGCCTAAAAAGGCCTCAAGACTTTTATTATATTAGGCATAAACAGGCCTCAAGCCTTTGTATAGTAAGTGTTTGTATAGTGAAATCTTTGAAAGAATAAGCCAAAATAAAAAACAAGCAGTGCAATTTTTGACATAACATGTAATTAGAAAGTTGTTCATCGTAGTGGACTGAGTCACATGGCACCAATTGTTTACATGTGGACCTTGTAATAACATTGTAATAGCATTTTTATTGATTTGTCAGTGTTTTTGAGTGCTGAAGCACCCCCAAAGGCCAATCTGGACCAAACTTGGCATACTCCATTAGAATCTGAATATCTACAAATCCTCAAAGTTTAAACATGATCTGATCAATGACTGACGAGTTATAGCTAACCAAGCTAACAATGCCACGTATGCAGGAATGTAGTGATTAATCCACATGACCCTGAGTAGAAAACTCAAAATGTTCTTGATAATTATTTACCTAGAGATGCCAAAGAATTGTTCTAGACCAACGTTGACAAGATTGGATCAAGATCCAGAGACTAGTTCGAAAAGTATGGTTTTCAAACATTTATAGATTACAAAAAAACTATGCAGATTTTTAATAAACATGTATAGGCAAAATTGTTTGTCCCAATGTACTACAATTGGCTTTCAGTGAAAATTGTAATAATATAGTAATATCATGTAATAATATGTAAATTTTTGAAATAGCGCCCCCCAGTGGTCAAATCTTTTGAAACTCGACTGGTTGTTAGAAAGTGGCTATATATAGACACCAGTCAAGTTTCGTCATGATTGGTCAATGTTAAGCCTGTCAAATGGCCTGCTGAATGCTTATTGGCCGATGGCGACCACAAATTTCAATGTATCCAAACGTCCTTCAATGCACACTTGTAGACTGGCGAGAGGATGCTGGATGCCAAGGTTCAGCTTGATCGGATGTTCAGAGGCAGAGAAAATGCCCTGTTTTTGTTGCTCCGCCCCCTAATTACTTATGCGCACAAAATTCGAATGGCTACCTCAGAATGGGCTACTGACATGGCCTGTGAAGTTTGAATTTTTTTGGCTGAAGGATTCTTGAGTTACAGATTTTTCAATTAATTCTGAATTATTTTGAATTTATCCAGAAGGGTTCATTTGCATATAGCAGCCATGTTGTATGGAAAACTTGAAATGTTTTTGATAATTATTGACCAGGACACTCTTCTGAATTTTTTGACACCAAACACATGAGGATTGGGCAAAGATTGGAGGACTAGTACACAAATGTAGGTTTCGCACATTTTGCAGTATTGCGAAAAATCGAAGTGGGCGGAGCTAAATAATCAAAATAGCCAAAAGGTTTATTTGAACCCATAGAATCAGGAAAAAAATATGGCTTGTCTGGCAAAAATCTGGTTTAGGAGATATAGACCCAAACGCGTTGACCTGCGCTGTAGCGCCCCCTTGTGGCCGACTGGGCTGATTCCTTGCGCCTGAGTAGCGGGAGGGACCACTACCTATTGACCAAGTTTGGTGTCTCTAGGACTTACGGTTTGGGCTGTGCGTTTCGTTTCAGGGCAGAAAAATAATAATAAATATAGCCGCAAGCGGCAATGAGCGGGTCCAGGCATGCAACAGCGGTACGGGCCCTTCTGCAGGTTTAGCTCATTAGGCCTAAAAAGGCCTCAAGCTGTTGGTTTAGGCCATTAGGCCTAAAAAGGCCTCAAGCTTTTGGTTTCGCCCATTAGGCCTAAAAAGGCCTCAAGCCTTTAATTATATTAGGCCTAAACAGGCCTCAAGCCTTTGTATAGTAAGTCTTTGTATAGTGAAAAATAAAAAACAAGCAGTGCAATTTTTGACATAACATGTAATTAGAAAGTTGTTACTCTTAGTGGACTGAGTCACATGACACCAATTGTTTACATGTGGACCTTGTAATAACATTGTAATAGCATTTTTATTGATTTTTCAGTGTTTTTGAGTGCTGAAGGACCCCCAAAGGCCAATCTGGACCAAACTTGGCATACTCCATTAGAATCTCAATTTGTATAAATACTCAAAGTTTGAACATGATCTGACCAATGAATGTTGAGTTATAGCTAATCAAGCTAACAATGCCACGTATGCAGGAATTTGGTGATTAATTCACATGAACCTGAGTAGAAAAGTCAAAATGTTTTTGATAATTATTTACCTACAGATGCCAAAGAATTGTTCTAGACCAACTTTGACAAGATTGGATCAAAATCCAGAGACTAGTTCGAAAAGTAGGGTTTTCAAACATTTATCGATTACAAAAAAACGATACAGATTTTTAATAAACATGTATTGGCAAAATTGTTTGTCACACTGTATTATAATAGGCTGTAGGTGGAAATTGTAATAATATAGTAATAACATGTAATAATGTGTAAATTTTTGAAATAGCGCCCCCCAGTGGTCAAATCTTTTGAAACTCGACTGGTTGTTAGAAAGTGGCTATATATAGACACCAGTCAAGTTTCGTCATGATTGGTCAATGTTAAGCCTGTCAAATGGCCTGCTGAATGCTTATTGGCCGATGGCAACCACAAATTTCGATGTATCCAAACGTCCTTAAATGCACACTTGTAGACTGGCGAGAGGATGCTGCATGCCAAGTTTCAGCTTGATCGGATGTTCAGAGGCAGAGAAAATGCCCTGTTTTTGTTGCTCCGCCCCCTAATTACTTATGCGCACAAAATTCGAATGGCTACCTCAGAATGGGCTACTGACATGGCCTGTGAAGTTTGAATTTTTTTGGCTGAAGGATTCTTGAGTTACAGATTTTTCAATTAATTCTGAATTATTTTGAATTTATCCAGAAGGGTTCATTTGCATATGGCCGCCATGTTGTATGGAAAACTTAAAATGTTTTTGATAATTATTGACCTTGAGGCTCTTCTGAATTTTTTGACACCAAACACATCAGGATTGGGCAAAAATTGGAGGACTAGTTCGCAAAAGTAGGTTTCGCACATTTTGCAGTATTGCGAAAAATCTAAGTGGGCGGAGCTAAATAATCAAAATAGCCAAAAGGTTTATTTGGACCCATAGAATCAGGAAAAAAATATGGCTTGTCTGCCAAAAATCTGGTTTAGGAGATATAGACCCAAACGCGTTGGCCTTCGCTGTAGCGCCCCCTTGTGGTCGACTGGGCTGATTCCTTGCGCCTGAGTAGCGGGAGGGACTACTACCTATTGACCAAGTTTGGTGTCTCTAGGACTTACGGTTTGGGCTGTGCGTTCCGTTTCAGGGCAGAAAAATAATAATAATAATAAATATAGCCGCAAGCGGCAATGAGCGGGTTCAAGCATGCAATGGCAGTACGGGCCCTCCTGCAGGTTTAGCCCATTAGGCCTAAAAAGGCCTCAAGCTTCTGGTTTAGGCCATTAGGCCTAAAAAGGCCTCAAGGTTTTGGTTTCGCCCATTAGGCCTAAAAAGGCCTCAAGCTTTTATTATATTAAGCCTAGAAAAGCCTCAAGCCTTTGTATAGTAAGTCTTTGTATAGTGAAATCTTTGAATGAATAATCCAAAATAAAAGACAAGCAGTACAATTTTTGACATAACATGTAATTAGAAAGTTGTTCATCTTAGTGGACTGAGTCACATGGCACCATTTGTTTATATGTGGGCCTTGTAATAACATTGTAATAGCATTTTTATTGATTTTTCAGTGTTTTTGAGTGCTGAAGCACCCCCAAAGGCCAATCTGGACCAAACTTGGTGTGCTCCATTAGAATCTCAATTTGTATAAATACTCAAAGTTTGAACATGATCTGATCAATGACTGATGAGTTATAGCTAACCAAGCTAACAATGCCACATATGCAGGAATTTGGTGATTAATCCACATGACCCTGAGTAGAAAAGTCAAAATGTTTTTGATAATTATTTACCTAGAGATGCCAAAGAATTGTTCTAGACAAACTTTGACAAAATTGGATCAAAATCCAGAGACTAGTTCGAAAAGTAGGGTTTTGAAACATTTATCTATTACAAAAAAACGATACAGATTTGTAATAAATATGTATTGGCAAAATTGTTTGTCACATGGTAATACAATAGGCTGTAGGTGAAGATTGTAATAATATTGTAATAACATGTAATAATATGTAATTTTTTGAAATAGCGCCCCCCAGTGGTCAAATCTTTTGAAACTCGACTGGTTGTTAGAAAGTGGCTAGATATAGACACCAGTCAAGTTTCGTCATGATTGGTCAATGGTAAGCCTGTCAAATGGCCTGCTGAATGCTTATTGGCCGATGGCGACCACAAATTTCGATGTATCCAAACGTCCTTAAATGCACACTTGTAGACTGGCGAGAGGATGCTGCATGCCAAGTTTCAGCTTGATCGGATGTTCAGAGGCAGAGAAAATGCCCTGTTTTTGTTGCTCCGCCCCCTAATTACTTATGCGCACAAAAATCGAATGGCTACCTCAGAATGGGCTACTGACATGGCCTGTGAAGTTTGAAATTTTTTGGCTGAAGAATTCTTGAGTTACAGATTTTGCAATTAATTCTGAATTATTTTGAATTTATCCAGAAGGGTTCATTTGCATATGGCAGCCATGTTGTTTAGAAAAGTCAAAATGTTTTTGATGATTATTGACTTTCAGGATCTTCTGAATTTTTTGACACCAAA